GTGGGGTCCTTCATGATGCAGGTGGCCCTCTTCCTGCATCTGGAGGTGTAGATGTCTGTGATGGTGGGGAGGTTGACTCCAGCATCTTCTGTGCAGCCTTCACCACTCTCTGCAAAGCTTTTCTTTCTGCAGCTGTGCAGCCTCCATGCCACACGTTGATGCTGGAGCACAGGATGCTCTCCACTGCACACCTGTAGGAGGTGAGGACTGAGCTTCCAGACCAGCTCGCCTCAGCCACCTGAGGAAGTAGAGTCTCTGATGAGCTTTCTTCATCAGGCTGGTGGCGTTGTTGCTCCAGCTGAGGATGTCGTTCAGGTGTACACCTCAAGTACTTGTAGCTGGAGACCACTTCCACCGCAGATCCTCCTATGTGCAGGGGAGGGGGAGGTGTTTGCCTTTTCTGAACTCCACGATCACATCCTTTATCTCCTTGACATTGATGTGTTCTTCCTGCACCATCTCTCCAGGTGTTCCACCTCCTGCACCACCTCACTATACTTTCATCATGAACCCAAAATGCATTTTTTTTTTTACCTTTATACAATTAAAAAAAGCCGCACCCTGATTTTTTTTTACACCTTCTCAGCAGATAATTGTTCATGGATGTACTTGGTGACAAACTCATTCCAAACAGTCCAATTAAATGCCGGGATTTTTATTTGCATTTGCTATGAAAACAGACGTCACACAAAATCAGCTGAAAGCAGGAAAACCGGAGCTTTTGGAGACACAAACCCGATCCCATTATCATCAGTTTGCCTTTAAGTTGTAATGTGTGCCAAAACAAACAAACAAAAAGAAACAAACCAAAGAATTATTTGCTTTCTGGTGTTTTCTGGTGACACATTAGATACAAAGTAGAACCATCTTTCACCGAATCCATTGAACGATAGTAAACGACCCAAAAGAATTGAGAGCCTGGACCTCTCGTCTGCGTTTTGCTCAGTTAAGCAAACACCCGACCCAGCTGGGTGGCTTCTATAAATAGAGAAAACAAAATAACAAAAGCTAAATATATATTCATTTGAAAGAAAATGTTCATATACAGAAATAAAAATGGTTCTCTTCACGTGTCATTAATTGGACCTAAACAAAGTGGTGCTATGCTGGCCAGCTAAACTAATAAAAAACGGGTTCTGGTCTCCTTGGATAGACTAAAACTGTTATCAGAACCTCCATCGAGGACGTCTGTCTCCAGAAAGAGAACGTTTACTGATAAAACCTGGCAAAACTTAATTAGAATACTTTTCTTATAACTTCGCTGTAAAAACTTGTATCAGAACTGCAAGAGCCCGTTTTCATCATATTTTGTGTTTCTGCTGGCCGTCTGAATTAATGTGCATCTGTGGAGTGAACTCTTGTAATGAGTAAAATAATAATAATAACTGGTCTGACAGTGATAACAGGTTCAGCGGGGAAAAAACGTACAAGCTGAGGAGGAGGTTTGAGAATTGCACAAGTCGATTATTCTCCATCTGGACCCGGAGCCGTGTGATGAAAAGACGTGAAACCCTTTTCTGCGTTCGATGAAAACAAGACGCAACATGTTCACGTGACTCGACACACGAGCTTTAATTAAACTGCGTCACGAGGGGTTCAGGATCTGATGAATGAGCTGGAAACAGGTTTGAAAACCAGTGTCAGCCAAAGATCCCGTGACTCATCTTCTGTGGGAATTCAAGAAAATGATGACACTCTAATTTAAATAAAAAAAAAAAATGTTTGGACAGAATATTCTGAAGTTTATAAAGAACTCCTTCACACCAGACCCGACAGCTGCGCGATGCGTGTGACCCCTCTCTGAACCAAAAACCCACAACGAGGCTTTTAAAACTGCATTTTGAGGCAAACCACAAAAACCTTTTTATATCATATTTAGGCATTGATTTAATACATGTCGTCTTGTTGACCATTTAAAATGTTTGTTCCTTTTAACTAAAAAAACAAACAAAAAAAAAAGGCGGGGTGTTTTCAGGACTGAGAACCGCTGGGAAGGATTTTGTCGACGTTCATTTCCAACCCATCAGCAAAGTTTGCTCCCTGGTCTCGTATAAACCACTGCAGCACAAAGTGGATCACAACCGTTTTAATAAAACTCCTCCAAACTCCCGCTCCCATCCACTCCCTGTTCTCAGTCCGGCCAGGGTGGAGGAGCGTTCAGTTTCTTTCTTCTAAAGTCCACGGCGGTGGCAGTTGAGGTGGTCGTGGAGGGGTTTAACTCAGCACAGAGTCCCCCCCCTCCTCCTCGTATTGTGTTTGTAAAGACCAGAGTCAATTAGGTGGCTCACTGAGAGGAGGGGGGCGGGGCTTCTCCTCTCACTCCTGGGCTATGCTCCTCAGAACGCACTTGACCGTGTAGGCAAACGCTGCAAAGCCTACAATCACAAACAGGTTGGCTAAAGCTCCACCTAAAAGTCCGTGGTTCCGATTGGCCTGCTGCGGGTCAGGGGCGGGGTTAGGGCCTCCCACAGGGACTGGTCCTCCGTTGAGGGCTGGGAGGCCATAGTGGGCTTGTTGAGGGTCTCCATCAGGAACCACATCAGGTAAAGGGAGGGGTTGCGAGTGGGCACTTAACTCTTCTTGAGCTCTTTGTTTCTGCTTAATCTCCTGGTGGGGAAGGAAGCAAGGAGAGAAACAATGAAACCAAAAGGACAAAGATGTTCCTGCAGTTCTCATGTCTTTACGTCATAATGTCAACAAAGAGAACACCCTGAACGCTAGGAATGACGCAACACTTACTTCCACTACATCAGGAAAAAGCTCGCAGAACACTTTGTCTTTAAGGTTAAAGGCCAGGCTTTGGGCAGAAAGCTGTCTTTTCTAGAAACAAACAAAGAAAACCATCAAATATCACGAGTTCGTCCTGTCGCTCCGCTGTTCCTCCTCTTTCAAACACTCACCGTGTAGTCGGATGTTTCGATGCTTCCGAGTGTTGGTCCTTTCTCCACCATAAAGCTGAGCAAACCTGTGAGGATCGTCGAGACCGACCAAGCAGGGTTCCACGTGTCTGGATGGAAGTCTGTGATGGACAAACATAACCTGTGGACAAACAGAAAATAAATAAACGAGAAGAGTTTTCCAAAGACCCTTTTCAGCTGAATGAGGCAGAACTCCCGTCTTACCTGGTGTTGCATTTGAATCTTCCGTTTGGCGTTATCATATAAATACTTGGTGGTTTAAAAGGAAATTCTCGAGGAAAAATGAGTTTCCCGTGATAATACCCCCCTGAAATTAGACAGAACGATAAAAAGGTAGAACTCAGATGCGAAAAAAGCAAAAATAAAAAACACAAGTTTGACGAAGTTTGGAATGACAGCAAATAAAAACAGGACGACTTGTTCAGGTGAGGCTACTAAAAGCATGTTTATACCTTCATAAGGAGTTTTCTCAGGACCTCTGACGACATAGTGCCTGCAGAGCAGAAAAAACACTTTGGTTATTAACAACTCTTGGAATAGTCACACATCGCTCATATTTCAGGAGAGAGAGGGCACGAAAAAGATAAAAATGTCGACAGCAACGTGCCTTTCTAGAAAAGTTACACAGAAATAATAAATCCTAGTTTTTATTTTGTTGATTAAATCCACAAAACAATCGAGAGTCTGTATCGATCTCCGTTTAGATCCACTAAATATGTAAAGGATTAAAGAAGGAATTTCTGTTATAAATACTAGCTGCCATAAGCCTGCTTTAATATAGTCTAGATTAAAGTTTAAACTCTACAAAGAGTAATTTCACCAGTTCCTCCGGCTCCCAAAGAATGTTTATTACATTTATGATGTTAACGTTCGCAGTCATTTTGTGCAGACAGCTGAGATTCAGCACCATCCTGCCCCCGAGATGTTCTTTTAATAAACTGTATTTGGCAGTAAAAGATGATTTAATTGCTGTTCATAACCAAACCGTACCTTCTTGTTAATAAAGTCACGTGTAAGGTTTTTACACGTAGTTGTAGTAATTTATCATATCGACGACATGTTTTCAGGATCACCAGTGTTTCCCTAAACACAGGAGTCTCGACATGATTTCCAGGAATCTTCTCATCTTAATTTATTAATAACGAACGTCTCTCAAAGGAATGTCTACCACCCGCTACCTTGCGTGCCAAAGCTTTAAGCAAACGTTCCACACAATCTGTTGTTGTTAGGAAAACTTGAAACGAGAGTTCCTGACAGCTTGAGCAACATTACCACCGACACACTGTAATTCAATCAGGAATTTTAAACACTACGCATTTCATATATATATTTTTACAAACAGAAATGCAAATAGTAATTTTTTTTCTTCTTCTTTCGGCTGCTCCCTGCGTTAGGGGTCGCCACAGTGAACTAAGGCGCACGAGGACTTGGCAGTTTTTTATTTTTACGCCGGACGTTCTTCCTGACGCAGCCTCAGACGCCGAGCTGCCACAGCCTCTGAGTGGAGCAGAGAGCTGCATCTACGAGGAGCAGATGGGGGTTAGGGCCTTGCTCAAGGGCCCAGAGTGGGACGAATGAGGGTGGGGGCAGGTGTGGGTGCTTCACCTACCCCACCCACATTTTTGATGTTGTCAGTACCGGGGCTTGACAAATAGTTTTATTACTGCTGCTAATTATTATTACATAGCACCTAATAATAAAGGTACAATAGTTTATTCACACTTAATATTTATATTTACTTTAACTTTAAAGCACAGACACAAATAATAATAACAATAATAATAATAATAATAATAAAGAGACTGGTAAGTGAACGTTGTCAGCCACTGTTGGAAACCAGTGTCAGCTTTCTAACAATCCAGGACAGATTTTAAACTAATTTGTGATCGGCTTTCTTTACAACATTTTATTGTTAAAAATTAAAAGGCATTTTTTTGTTCAAGCACAGACATTAAGAGTCATTTTTTTTCAATTTATCACCAGAAAGTCAGTGGACATTTCTAAAACAACAGAGTGTAGAAAGCAGCCGCCTCCGGGCCCAGGCCTCCTTTGCTAAAGAGAGCTGTGATGTCCACGGGATTTGCCTGGTTAAATAAAGGTTAATAAAATAAATAAGCATTATACAGTACACACAGTTCTTTATGAGCAGCCTCTTTAATGACGCTGGAGGCAGTTCTTCAAAATAAAGTGTTTACTTTGATGCTTCCCCTCTAAAAGACTTCATGAGGCTGACCGACTGTTATGCACTCAAAATAAAAACAAGTTTTCTTTCTTTCTTCAGTTACACAAGAGACACACAAGTGGCAGACTAAGTTTCAGCACAATATCAACTGATCTATATTTCTAAATTAATAGCACATAGTATCACTTCTTCTCTGCTGTTCTATTCTCTTTGAGGATGACAATCTGACGTTAGCGGAGTTATTAGGCTTTCAGTAGGTCTGCAGTAACTCCATCCCCCCTGAGGCCGACTCTTGCAGCTCGTTGTAAACATTTGTTTAGAAACAGTATCATCGTGAAAACACGCGTGTCACTCACTTGTAGACGAGCCATGACTGACTTATCTGCCAAAAAACGTATACCAAGCACCAAGCTCGTCTCTGACCGAGCGTAAAAGTTTAGAAACAAAGTCCTGTCCTTTTAAAAATGATTCATAAACTTAATTTTGTTTTCTTGTTTGAACAAGTTTGAACAAACTCGGAACCTACACTCAAGTTTGTTGAAAATATTAATTGTGAGTGGCGGATGTCTATGGGGCTGCAATCAAGTCACAACGCTTGAAACGAGGGTTCCTCCTTACGTTCATCCTAGACTGTAAAAAAGATCAACAGTGCTGATACTGTGAAACATAAACAGAGTGAATACTTCATCAAAAACAGTAAAATACTGTCACAATAACTTTTTCCTGTTTTTGATTTATGGTTTCCAAGAATGCCTAAAAATTATTGTCTAATCAAACTTGAACAGACAAGTTTTATTTCATCTTTTTATCCAATTAGACACTCGGAATATTTTTCATAAAGAAAATATCAATATACAGAAAAACAAGTACTTTTTATGTCTCACGAGGATTGGCTGGTGTAGAATATGTCAAACATAAAAAAACTGTACAAAGAGAATAATAATTAAAAAAACAACTAAAACCTGTTAAAAAGTAGTGTACCTAAAAATACACTAATTAGATGGAAAATTATTTAAATAAAAATTCCACTACAACATTAAAAGTTAAAGTTTTTGATTTGCTTGTTCTCTGACCATTGTTGATGATCCCAGTGAGTGTTGACTAATCTACCAGCCTGAAGAAGAAAGCTAATCAGAGACTCTACTTCCTCAGGCGGCTGAGGCGAGCTGGTCTGGAAGCTCAGTTCTCACCTCCTTCTACAGGTGTGCAGTGGAGAGCATCCTGTGCTCCAGCATCAACGTGTGGCATGGAGGCTGCACAGCTGCAGAAAGAAAAGCTTTACAGAGAGTGGTGAAGGCTGCACAGAAATCTGTCGGAATCAGCCTCCCCACCATCACAGACATCTACACCTCCAGATGCAGGAAGAGGGCCACCTGCATCATGAAGGACCACACTCACCCAGCACACACACTTTTTGCCCCACTCCCCTCAGGAAGGAGGTTGAGGAGCATTAAGTGTAGAACCACTAGACTGAGGAACAGCTTCTACCCTGAGGCTGTTAGACTCATGAATCTCTAACTAGAATAATCACTGTGAAAAACCATATCATGTTGCTGCTGATCTGTTTCATGTTGCTGCTGATCTGTTTCATGTTGCTGCTGATCTGTTTCATGTTGCTGCTGATCTGTTTCAATGTTGATGTGTTCATGCCCTGGTACAGACATCATCAAAAATGTGGGTGGGGTAGGTGAAGCACCCACAGCTGCCCTCACCCTCATTTGCACCACTCTGAGCCCATGAGCAAGGCCCTTAACCCCCATCTGCTCCTAAACAGGTCTCTCTTGAAAATGAGTTCTCGTGGCTCGATGAGACTACCTGGACAAAGGGTAAATGAAAAAAAAAAGCGTGCTCATCTGCTCACACAGACTCATGTTCATGCTGCTTTTCAGTGTAATGTTTTTATGTTATGAGTGCTTAGCGTATTTTTAGTTAACGTTTTTCTTAGTTCATATCTTAGATCTCATTACTGTTTTTCTTGTACATTTTATTGTTGGATGGAACTGGGACCCTGTGTACACAATTTCGTTCCACCACATGTACCACATGTGGTGCAAATGACAAATACAGAAACTCTAACCCTGACTAAAACAAGAGTTTAGTGTTACTTATCATATTTTCTTTAAATATTCAGAATATAGATATTAAATAGATGCAAACTTCTTCCTTGGTGGTGGTTTTTGGTCTATTTGGCCCCTGAGGAAACAAAGATGCAAATCTCACCATTCTAGGATGTTGGATGGGAGAGGCTCTGCACAGATGTAAGGCACTGGGTCTTTCTTTATCCTGAGGTAATCCTGTTTAAGACGCTGAGTGGCTGTAGTTGGAGCTCTCTTATTCCCGGTGCTGTTCATCTGAGATAAACGACACAAACAAGTACCGGTAAGAGGAGCAGAAAAGTAAATTGGTTCCCATTACTCTGGCACCACTGTCAACACAAAACTTCATTTCTCTACTAGAAGTATTTGAACCCTGCAAATATTTTCTTCCAGACTCAGCAGATGCTACAGTGATACTTAGGTTTTATTATATACTTATACTGTAATGTAGCCCAGTGGCAGGAAATGTACCTGCAGCTGAAACTGGAGCAAAGAAGAAAACTAAATAATCTCAAATAATATTAAATAGGATCATACTACACAGTGCTGTAGTAACAGATGGTCCCACATCCTACTCAAGATTAAAAGGCCCTGCATGCTCCATCCAGAGCGGCTAAATCAGCTCTCATTGACGTAGTTGTACGACGAAAATAGTGACATTTTGTTCTAAGAGCAGCTTTCCCCGCTCCTTCTTGACACAAGACACACAACAAACTTTTTTCCACAGGCACATGCGTCACGTGTTATACGACTGGTCAGAAGTTTGCGGACGCATTTGTCAATGTGGAAATGCGCTCGGACGTTCATCTGTACGACTCTTCAAACACACAAATTAGTCAAATGGCCTAAAAACTCCTGGATGGAGACCGCACAGCTCGTGTATGGAGAAGTCTGTCTGCTGTAAAGCGCGACACTGTCTTCATAATAGATTTGTGGCCAACAGGCATTTGCAGACACTAAGTGGAGACTCTAGCAGGAACATACCTTACCGCAGCGGGAGGGGTTTCCCAGATTTGCACCTGTGTCATGTGGACTATAAAAGACATGTGCAAAAACAAACATCCCGCAACCACGTGACCGCTGTTTGGCTCAAGATGGAGTATGTGTTAATTTTGTGAACAGAAAGTTCGGTGGATTATTAGAAATCCAGCTAAATAAACATTCTGAATAATATGACAGATTACCTGGACCATTTGAAAGAGTCCTTAAATAGATAATTTTACTAACAAGCTTTTTAAATGTACAGTATGTGAATGTTTTTGTACAGTGCCCTGAGACAACCTCTGTTGACTTGGTGCTACATACATAAACTGAACTGAATTGAAAAAAAACACTTTTTTTTTTTTTTGGGTTACATTTTTATAAACACAAACTACCGATGTTCAAAAATAAAGTTCATTTGTTGAAAATTGTTTATCAGGATTTTTTTTAAATGACTGAAGTTAGATATAATGAGAAATATACAGATTTAAGTCAAACTGTTGATCAGCAATTTAGGATTAAAGTTACATGACAGATAAACTAAACCATCTGTAGTTCATACATTATACTGTGTAATATACTGTACAGGCATTTATTAACACATTCCATGTAAATTCAAATAAGTTCAAGACAAAAACAACTGGACTTTATTTGTAACGGAAGACGTTTCGCTTCTCATCCAAGGAACGAGTGTGGGTTCGAGTTATAAGCTAAACTAAATACGTAATGTGGATTGCCCCATCACTCCTCACAATAGAGTTGGTTAGTGCCTGAGACACAGAGGAGCCACTCTGGTGACATAAACTCCTGATAGGTGTGAAAATGACTGTATCAGACCTAAAGCTGCATTAGAGGTGTTTGAAAGTTGAAATCCGAGACCCCCGGCTCGCTTCAAAGATGGTATCTCTTGTTTTACATCCCGTGACCTGCAGGACTCCTGAATAAATGTCACGCTCGACCACCGAGTCTCGTCCGGATGAGCTGGCTCTCCTGTGTCGGGCCATGCGTCTGTGAAAAGGTCGTTTGGTTTCTCCATTAGAGAGATCTGGACATTCCTCGCTTGGCTTATAAGTCGAACCCCACACTTTTCATTGAACTGAGAAAGCTCCTCGGATGAGAAGCAAAGGGTCTTCCGTTACAAGTAAAGTCCAGTTGTTTTTGTCTTCAACTTCTTTGAATTTACCACGTCCTGGATGACTGAGACTCTTCACCAGCACATGCCATGTAATAAAACTCTTAACGTTATAAAAGAGCAAGCACGTACACCGGTCCCACATAATTTAGGTGTCTCAGAAAGGCTTCGTAAAACCGTTTGTGTTGGTTTTGTTTCATAACATCCAAGTGTAGTGTTTTCGTTTAAAACAGAGATCAGATTTACTCTTGTGTCTAAACCCTCTAGTCTTAAATAATCCTATGCTGGACACTGTGAAGTGACGTTATAACGACCTAAAATGGACCCTCCTATTTTTTGAGACTGTGCTTTTTATGCACAGCCAGAACACAGATTTACCTGAGCAGGATTTAAACGTAGTTTCATTCGTTAGCTTGTGGAAACTACCTGAACCTCCACCTACTGACCTACTGGCACGTGGATGCTGAACGGACTAAGTGGACTCTGACGATGTGTTGGCAACATGACGATGTCACTTCCAAACAAACATCAGGCTACTTAACGCAATTTATGTAACTTCGGCTAACCCGCTGGTAGGCAAGCTAAGCTAAAGGTAAATCTATGACTTTCTGGAAAGATCGATAGATCAACGAACTCATGAATACCGACCTGTCGTTCAGTTACGAACTGTAAACAAACATAGTCTAATACCAAATGACAATACGTCACCACAAATCGTTAACGACTTATTAAAACGCTACTTGTGCTGCCCTTAAACAGGCTAACAACATACCGCACGGAAGCTACAACGCTGGTCAGCTCCAGCCATTCACATACAACCAGTCCTGCTCACAGGCCGAGGCTAACGTGCTTAGCATGCTAACTGTAGCATCGGCTTCCAGGAACGCTGGTTATCATAGACGAGTTGCTTCTCAATTCTAAAAGAGGTCGTGTAATGTGGACGTACCTCTCCAGAGACCCCCGCAAAAAAGTGTGTTCGTGGCTACACACGAAATGACGTTGTTGTTTATGTCGTCAAACCCAAAACCGATAAGACGATGGCACCAACGTAGCTTTAGCTACGAGCTGCGGGTAAGAACAGTTTCACTTCCGGGGTTTCTTCTTCGTTGGATGAAATAATTGTAGAATTACTTACGGTCGCCACAGTTCACAGGATGACACGTTTGAGTGACCATGTTTCATAAAATCACCTTGTCTGTTCCCCTTCCACCTGCAGAGACGCCTCTTTATGCGGTTGCACGATGATTCTTGTTGCTATTTTTGTTTAAAAACAATTAAAATACAACAGATGGAAAAAAAAATCCACAAGAGCTTTAACTTTTTGGCTAATTGTTTTTATTTTTTTTTACTATTAGATGCAAATATTTATTTTTTCCATCTGATGGAAAACAAGATTTAAAATCAAAAATTTTTTAGACGTGCTGACCAGTGGTGGAGAAAGTACTCAAACACTGTACTTAAGTAAAAGTACAAATAAACAGACAAAAATGTACTCTAGTAAAAGTACCACATTAACATTTTTACTTAAGTAAAAGTAAATAAGTACTTGCTTTTAAAATACTTAAAGTATTAAAAGTACTTCCTAATTACATAATGCAATGGTCTACATATCTTTAAGTCTGCGTACCATATGTATATTTTGTGTAATACTTTAATAGTGTTGAGCCATTTTAATGAACGATGCTGCAGATAATACATGTTTTTATTGTGTTTACTCTGTGACACAGTTCACACCTGGACTTGTGATTCTGTGCATCAGAATTTCAGGGATGACCTGCAGAGTTAAATGTCATTCATCAAAATAAGAAAGAGGAATGATTTTACCTTTGGAAGATTTTTATTTAACACAAAGTAAAACCAATGTGTCATTTTAACTGCAGTAAACACATTTAAATAAAAGTTGTCTGATGAACAAAAGGAGCATTAGACACAACTAACAAAGAAATATCTGATCAGTTCAACTCCAGTTTGTCATCAACTCCAGTTAAAATATGTCTATTCAACCTTGTAATGGGTCAATAGTGAACAATATTTTAACTTCCTGACACCATTTTCAAAACGGACTCGAGTGTCGAGCCATTTGGAGACATCTCTCGTCTCCTAACATCCCATGAACTGACACATTTTAATGTTGCAGCAAGAATTTCTTGTTCAAGTTCAGAAAAAGTTGGTTTTCAAAGATTTCTAAGTCCAGTCTGGCTCTTTTGGGAGAGAGAATCTGTCCTGTTGTACTGAATAATCTTTCAATAAGGCCATGGGTGCAGCATATCTTCTGGCTGACTCTCTTGCGCTGGAATACATTTTGGGTGTGTTGTGGGTGCACCCAGCTCAGTGACATATATATACTAGAATATTTGTCATTGGTCCAGCTCTTCTTGAAGACGGGCCTAACGTTACCTGCCCTCTTTACAGTGATTCAATGGACCAGCTCTCCTCTCATCATTAGTTACTTTCAAAGTAACAAACAAATCAAAAAGCCGCAACATGAATGTAACTTGTAATGCAACGCGTTATAGAAATGTAGTCTAGTAGAAAGTATAGATACTTGATGTAAAATGTAGTGGAGTAAAAGTATAAAGTACCCACATTTAACTCTACTTAAGTAAAGTACAGATACATGAAAAATGTACTTAAGTACAGTAACAAAGTATTTGTACTTAGTTACATCCCACCACTGGTGCTGACAGAATAAAACACATGATCAAAAGTTGTACTTCACTGATTTTACAAATCAAGTTTGGAGTACTCGTCACGGAGAGTATGAATAAACCAACAAAAACGTTCACATAGCTTTAAAAGTATTTTCACAAATGGTTTCATCAAAGTGAAAAGGAGTGAGGCCATATCAGAGAATCAAAACTTGTCTATTCCTAAAAAACAAAAAAACAATAAAAATAATAAGCCACTTGTGTTAAGATTATTTTAAAATGTTCATTTACTGTGGTTTTGCTTTAGCTGGGTTTCTACAATAAAATGAAACAACCCAGTGCTTTTTGTGTTGACTGATATCAACTTTCATCTCATTGAGAAAAGTTTCAAATCAATTAGAAGAGCTTGTGATGAAGTGGTAGATGGTTGTTGACACCGTGGCTTCTTGCAGCGGCTGAACTGTGCACTCCTCCTTCTCAACTTCTCGGGCTGTAGAGATGCAAGGACAGAAAACTCCCAAAAGACGCAGGAGACGTCACCTGTAGCAGGGATATTAACAGAGTTGTTCCCCTTGAAGGATGGAGACCGGCCAAAATGCTACTTGAAGAAAAGTCACAAGCCAAAAAGTACCGCCGTCCCCAACAACCCACTTTCCACAGTACACACACGTGCTTCTTCCAGCTTATATCAAATAAGGAAATGGATAGAAAGCTGCAATGACAATCTTGCTCATTTGACTTATTTTATCATTTGTTTGATACCTTTAAAGTATGACATGCATTGCATATTAGTTACGCAACAGCAAATTGCATTTTGTTTGAAGGCAACTAAATTTTAGGTCCTTGTGCAAATAAACAGCTACTCCAGTAAAGGTTGGAAATGTGATAAAAACCTTATTTGTGGCATTAAAGTCAAATCTGCCTGCTCGCTGTAGATTCTGGCATGGTTTGTTATGCAGCCACAACTTGTGTGTAAGTAAGCAAGATGGCCCAAGAATTTGAAAAATAGTTTTCAGAGTTAACACGATGGCTCAGAGGGCACACAAACCTCTCCACAAACTTTGATACTTACCACAAGGAAACACCATTGAAAAACTCACCATGTTGGGTGTCTAAACGTTTGCTTTGGGCTCCCTTTTTTGTAATTTTGAAGCTGTTAAAGGTTGAAATATACAAAAAGACGTTAAAATAAGGGCAAAATGATGTCATTTTTAACCTTATGGAAATCAAATCAAGTTTGCAGGTGCCTCTCCAAACCATAGACTGCTTTGAAGCTCTATTAGTAGATTGATTTGAGGACGATGTTAAAGCACATATTTTTTTTTTAGATATCTTGATAATCAAAGCAATAGCTAATTTCCCCCAGAAACAATATTCAACCAAAACGGGCGGCAGACCAAGACACCTCAATCACCTCCCCACATCCAAGCACCAGAGCAGAAAGATTCATCACTCATCCTAAGAAGGTCCAGGATGTTTCACTCACTCGATCCCGAAAATCCTTGAATTTAAATGAACTTCTGCCTGTGGCAACCCCTGTGGTGACAGAATGACACATCAGAAGAGTGTTTATTTACACACATGGACACACGTCACATGTCCTCCGTGTAAGATAAGAAATTAGAGCGTTGGTACATGACACTTTTCAGTGATGGTGTTACTGTGAGATCACATTAAATGTCCGGCACACTGGATTATTCAAGGCATTTTGCTCTGGGCTACAAGTTGAAACTGGCTATCGGAGACCCATAATTCCTGAAAGTAATCTTTAAATAGGGATCTGAAAGCGCTTTAAGGTTTTGCCTCGGTTTTACTAAACATCTAGAAAATAATGATGACTGCTTTGAATGTCAAGTGTTATAAAAAGTTTGCCAACCACCAGATTTAAAAGTGACATTCTCCCCAACACTTGTAAATGTTTACAAATGCTCGTAAACTATATGTTTTAAATGACATTCACCTTATCAAAAGCCATGTTAGGAGAATATTGTGTTAAAGAAATGAACAGCAATGAGAGCAAGAAGGAGGAAGCAGGGTTAATTTATCAGGAATTTCAGTTTTATTCATTGCATCGTTTTTGTTTTTCTCTCTTAGTGCTTGCTAAGACAAAAAAAATGTATTCCCAAGATATTCAATTGAAAGTAACCAAACGAATGCCTCCAAGTATGCAAGAATTGTGTTGCGGTTTTGTCTGACAGGTTGTTTTTCCTGAAAAACAATAGAAGACCAACATAAAACGTATCACGCAACCAGATAGTGTGACGAAATGCTGAGAGGCAGGCAGTTGGCATCAAGATAAAATACACAGGTGTACTATTTACAGCATGTTTCCTTGGAACAGCACCTTTAACCACTCTTTAAGTCAAGACACACAATGGACACAACATTTAATACTTCCTTGAGGGCGCTGGCCCATCACAGTTTGGTCACAGTAGGTTTACATCACCCCTCTAAACTGGTTCTACTTGCAGTACACTGAACAGTTGGATCTACTGGTTAAAAAAATCTCTGCATCTCTGAACAAGCGAGTACACTGAAAGTGTTTCTGCCTCTCTGTAAAATCACAGAGAAAGGTACCGTGACTACACTTTACCTTTAAAAAATGTCTTTGGCAGAGGAAAGTAAAACCATAACATCTTTACCAAAAAGGAAGTGGAAATGACAGAGATAAAGAGGTCACCGCAGATTCGGTCTGCGGACAGAAGAATGGCACAGAGGTGCAGAAAGGACACCAGAGACCAGAGTGGGTCGTTGGTGCTGCATGCTTATTCCACAGGACTGCACTGCACAGGGTGATCAAAAGATCTCCAGAAAATATTTCATCATGCTTTTAACAAGGTTGAACCTACAGAGAGCAAATTCTGGCAAAGCATACAGAGCATAACGATGAGTCAGATGCACAAAGCGCTCCGTTTTCTTATAGACACAGTAATATTGACGAGCATTTACAGGAAACTGGAGGTGCGTTTATAAATTTCCATGGCAGTGAACAGAAGAAGGTAACATGAAGATGTTAAATGATGGTTTTATTTACTTCCTAACTGCAGCTCTGGCTTGTCGGCTTTACGATTTCAGCAGCCAATTATCGGCTGCAACTTCATATTTAACTCTGTTCATCAAACGCTTGAGAAATTTAGCAACAAAACGAAAACAAAACTAATCCTGCAGTGCCAGTACGTGCACTCGCAGCAACCTAAGGCTATCCCATGTCATTTATGACTGCAAAACATTACCACGTCCAAATCCTTCCTACTCCTAAAGTAATGCTTTGGGATTGAAATGACAATCAACATGTATGCAGAAAAGAACTGCATCAAATAATGCATTGCACTGGTCCTCTGGATTGATAAATAAATCAACACACAAACAGACATAATCTAGACAAGAACAATGTCAAATAAACAAAATCATAGTACTGCAAATGGAAAAGTGCACAGCTTTTTTTGTTTCTTTACATAATGTAACAAAACCCTTTATTTACCTCTCTTTCAGTATCTGACACTCATTTTCGCCGCTGCTCACTCTCCACATCACAGCGTATCTCACACATCAGACAAGGACTCTCCCCTCAAGCCCTTCAGTTAGATCTTATTTCTTAACTTCTGTCACAGTAAACTACCCTGCCACCTCCGTCGTAGCTTGTTTATTAGCCGTTTTTTTTTTCTTTTGGTAATGGAACAGATATCATTTGTTCACCTCATGCCACAGTACACAGTTTCTAGTCTTCTAAATATGTATATTTACATCTCTGGTCCAGAAGAGATGGGTAAGGTGGACGTCATACAGATGGTCTGGATACATAGAAAGTGTAAGAGGGTTAATGCAGTGAGATTCTTCAGAGGTTAAGAGCTGTTAGTCAGAAATAACCCAAGTTGGAGGTTACATCACATTATGTTAAAGGGATAGCTCAGTCGTAAATATCTTACCTGTTTTAGATAGCCCTTTGAAGAGCTTTAATTTGGGCAAAGAAAGTTTTGTTCTATTTTACAAAACTTTAAAATGTCTTCGTTTTTGCAGTACAGTGTCATTCTGGAAGGAACATTATCACATTCCTGTTCAAAGCGCACCGAGGTGCACAGGAAGCGCTTCAGCTAGCTGCTGCAGTTGCTTTATGCACTTGCAGCTGGATTTGTTTTAAGACAGCAGCCATCCGCATTGGTCTCGAATGAGCCGTTAGCTTGTCAGTTCAATCAAAACTGAACTATTTCTGCAAACTGAGGCTGTTCAAAGAGCTACCTACAACAGGTAAGATATTAACTGTTCCCAATTCAAAAGTCTAAACTACTGCTTTAAGTTAGAAAAGAACCCTGTTAGTGAAACACCAGAAAGCAGGTGTAGATGTACTGTGTGTGTCATGTGCCAGGTAATATAACAAGCAGAAAATGGAGGTGGTGACTGTATTGTCAGTGGAGTTAGAAAGCTCCATCAGGGGTGTCCCTTTGGCACACCTCAATGTAACCTCCGCCCCCCTTAGAACGCTCCGTTTGTATGAAGTTGCCTGTTAGCCTAGATCTACAGAAGCAACAGACTCGAGATCAGTGTCTAGGGGCAACTTCATCACGATCAGGTTCCCAGTCAGGAGGAGGTGATTTATACACAGAGGGCGAGCTATTCTCCCAGGCGTAGCCGTGACCACTAGCTTTCATCTATGGTGAGGCAGATAAATTCTTGGATGCACTTCCTGTACTGCTGCTCAGTGGGGCTGCTGCTCGGGTATTGACCTGGTTGACCCAACGGACCCTCCGCCTCGCGCATCTCCTCGTTCATCCGTGCCAGACGCAACCTAGAGGAGAGAAGGAAGAAAAGCAGGGAACGGAGAAGCAGGTCAGAAGGTAAGTCACGGAAAAAAAAAAAAAACAAGACGCGGAGAAAGACGGAAGTTTACAGAATGTGAATGAAAACTCAACTTTGGTCTTGACAGATTAACAAATCTCAACAAACAACTGAACCGCGTTGGGGAAAAGGCAGATTCATTTGTTTCTTTAATTCCAGTGAACTCAAAGAGACAAACGGTTTAGTCAGAAGATCTAAAAACAGTTTTTCTCTCCCATATTTAAAGAAAGGCCTAAACCACTTATTTTGTCGAAGATTGCCTTTTTACTATTTTATAAAAACAGAAACCGTCTTTCCTCATCAATTTGAAATATGTGACAATAACGGACATGTAAATATTGTAATAGACTTACAGGGTAACGATGTCTGCGTTTGCGGCCTGGACAGCAATACTGAGCGGATCGTGACCCTGCTCATCCGCCTCCGTCTGCGAAGCTCCTCTCTTTAGGAACAAACACACCTGACTGAACGAGTCAGGACAAAAGCAGAGAATAAAACACCACTTATAAAAGAAACAAGACGGATATGGACATTCAGTAAGCTGACGGATCAGCGCAGTAACTCTAATCTTAATTACCGTCATGCTTTAGGGGGGAAACATCTGTATTTTCAGATTGTGTAGCAGATTAAAACTGCACCACGAAACCATTTACACAAAGGGGATTTTTTTTGGGAGGGTTCAGAGCTAAGAAGCTTTCTAAAATACTTGCAACACATGCTAGTTACAACATGAACAGGTGTTGGCAGTTCTCACCCAGTGTGTCCCAGATAGGTGGCGTGGTGCAGCGGGCCCCTGCCTCTCATGTCCCTCTGGTTCACGTCGGCCCCGTTCTGCAGCAAGAACTCACAAGCTATCAAAGAACCCTGGGCACGAGAGAAACACACAGAAAGTTGTTTTGTTACGTTAACCGTCCACGAGTCGGATTATTTGTGTGGAAGTGGAGAGCACGCAACATCGGGTTGGTCTGTTTGAGTTATCGATATAACGTTTCAGCTGCGACACAAACAACAACAAAAAAGTTTTGCCCAACTTGTGTCCAAATGTAAACGTCTGGACAAGAAGAGAGGTCTCTCACCCCGATCACAGCTTGAATGAGAGGCGTTTTTCCTTCCTCTTCTTCGTTGGCTGTGTGCACGTCAGCCCCGTGAGCCAACGCCTCTGCCATGAGCGGCAAGTTGTGAAGACGGGACGACCGGTAAAGCAGCGCCCCTGGGTGCAACTCCCTCGGATCCTCGGGGTCTGAAGACACTTCCTGTTCGATTTCCACCTCACCACTGGAAGACTCCTCCGACTCCTCTTCTGTGGGCGAGCGAATCAACGAGACGGCGGTTTTCAAAACTGAATTTATAAATTCACAAAAGACTCAGAAGGAATGAAGCAAGACTCAGTTTGATGGATATAAGTCGGTGTTTATATTGAAACAAGCTTTTATTGAGACACAAAGCAACCTTCCTCACCTTCCTCTGTTACACTGTCCACTACAGAGCCAAAAACCAGGATATCCGTGCTGCCGTCGGTACTTCCCCCTAAGCCGCTGTCGCTGCTGAGACCTGCGGGGCCAAGAATCGCCAAGCCACGGACATGTTAATCATCACACCGGCACGACAAACACACGGCTAAGTTGCAGCAGAAAGCTTTTACCGATCCTGGCAGTTTTGTGACTTCAGCGCTGCGAACTTACTGCGAGGCCCAGAGCCGGTGTCGAAGTAGGAAAAGAGCGAGTCCAGCTCATCTGGACAGAACAGGGAGTCCCGGCGAAACTTTGCTGCAGCTGCTGCAGACAAAAGAGGGACGCTTCAGAACGTGCGACTAACGTCCATCCAAGTTAATCCCCCCACACCGACCTGCTGAGAGGTTTGCAGGCGAGGCGCAGCCAGGTTCGTAGCGATGGTATTTCCTGCGGGTCTTGTTGGGGGCCCGGACAGAACTGCTGTGTCTCTGGCATTTCTTCACCGTCCACGGGCGGGACTTCCTCTCCCCCTCCACCAGCGCGTCTCCCCCACTCATCTTTTTGACGAAGCGTTTCTCAACATACTTAGACTTGATCCAGGCCTCCTTCTCCTGCCTGGAGGGAGATGATTACACGTGTCTATGTCACCCGAGCGGTTCTGAGCCATCACTGCATCTTTCGGATTATGAGGCGCAATAAGTTCATTTTGACAGAGTTTTGACATAAAGTCGGTTCGAGGTCAGCAAGCCCAACCAGAATTAATATATACGGCTCACTGTCGATTTTAGAGAAAATTAAAGGATTTTAAGTGCACCTCAGTCTGAAAAATACCGTAATAGGTAATAATAGTTCTAGTTGTTTCCACAGAACTTCCAAAGTAGATTTCTGCCCTAAAACAACTCCAGTCTCAAAGATTTTACAGCTGATTGTGCAATCTTCATTTTACAAACATTAATATTGTTGTCAATTTAGAAACGCGCTATTATTTACATTAAATTATTTGTTTGTTTGCGAGTTTGGACAGCAGCACCAGATCAGTTGTAGCACTTGTGGTGTAACGTTCAGAAGGAATAGGATCATATTTGTACTGGAACGACTGTGTGAAAATAACAAAAGTGTAAAGGCTTATGAAACAGTGTTCCCATGAACCCACATGAAATAACATTATAAATTAGACAAGACTGGAGGTAACGTTTAATTAATAATTAATTCATTATGACTGCATCGACCCACACTGGACTAGGTCTTGCTCAGAATAGTCATTAGCTTGGCAGAATTAAACTATTTTTACAAGTTTGTTCAAAGTACTATCGATGACGGATAAGATAATTGTTCACAACTTTTCCTCAGAACTCCGAAAGAGCTCACCCAACCCTTTATTTATAATCACTCAACAATTTTTTATTCGAGCAATAAAAATTAACTGATAACGTCTAACCTAAACGATGGACCAAAATATTTAGGGAAAATAGATGAATAAATAATCCTTCCTGCTGGATTTAAATTTACCTTGAACTGGAGGGTGCAGGTTTTTTAGCTCCCAGTTCCTCGCAGGCTCCCTCATAGATGTTGTTGATCACAGTGTTTCCCAACTCACACATCAGCTGAACGCAAGAACGCAGGACCAAGAGAAGAGAAAAGTTTTTATATATATATATATATATATATATATACACACTGTATTTAAAAATGAAGTAGCAGCGTGTACTGGAGGACTTAATAATGCAACACCACTGGCAGGACACAAGCAGGATGAGCTGCAGGCGCACCTTGAGTAATTCTGGCTCCCACGAGTCCAACGTCAGCGAACGCACTTTAGAAAAATGGACTCCTAAACTCCTGAGAACGAAACACAAAGAACACAACGTGTCAAACCTTTGACTATGTTTAAGATTGCTCAGGGTGGCAAACATCAAAAGCAGTCCCTCGAGCGTTTCTCTACAACCAAAGGTCTGGAGATTAGTTTAAAACTCAGCTGAACACTGAACTTTCCGATTTAAAGACCTAAGAAGGTGAAGCTAAGTTTAGTTTGTTTTCCCGTTCGACAACATTTGCATCAATATTTCTCTAAGACGTACGGTATCTTTCATATCGTTTAGAAAGTTTAAAAATGGAATTATAAAAAGAAGTTTACTGATTACGGCAGCTGGGCTAATGAAAAGTAATAAATACAGGGATTTATTAGTCCACATGGCTCCTTGTATCGGTTGTAAAACGAAAGCAGGGGAATGGAATGACCCTTGTGCTGAGGTACACGTGAAAGGGGAAATTTCTTTTTACTGATTGTGTTCTTCAGAAATCCATAAACAGAGACATGGTTTTGTTGATTTAATCTAAAAAACATTTCATCCAGGGCGCTTTTTTTCATGCACTTCCTGGAACAAATGGCAAGAGAAAACAAGCTAAAAAAACTCATTCAGATTAAAATGTTCCGAGTAGTAACTCCTCCAGGTGCTCATTTGTGTTGGTCCATTCATAAACATTTATCGTTTCAAAAGAATCTCCATTTGTACGCATCCTTTACGATTGTCCACTGTCGCCATCGCTCTTTGTTAAAATCAGGTCCCTCTGGTAAATGAGTCCCGCAGGCTCAATGAGACCAACGTGTATAAATAAAGGTTGCATTGTGTGGATGTTTGTGAAGCATCATGATCCGTTTTTCTTCCGTATGTTTCTCGGCATCTTTCTCGTTCCACAACTTTAGTGCTAGTTCAACAAATCATAAATCAAAATGTTCAGCTCATTCAGGAGAAGGCTGCTACGACTTTTGGTGTTGGTGCAACTTTAGCTTTTAAAATATTTAGCCTTTTCTGTCACTTTTTTCTAATAGAAAACGAACTGAGCTCATTTCGCATCCTTCACATCTTTAGATCTGTTGACAACCTTTTACTTCTACGTTCACATTTGTTCAGCTTCAGCTTCTTTCAGCTTTCTTGTGCAAATTGAAACTTTTTTACAACTACTTTCAGCTAATTTCAGGCGTTTTTCCGCAGTTGTGTGATCTTTTTAGATTCTGCTAACTACAACATTTTTGTGCTTCTTCTAGCATGTTATGCTCCTTTCTGCTTGTTCACGCAAGTTTCAGCCTTTTCTACTATTTCAGCTACTATATAGCTGTTTTTATGTTAATTTTAGCTTTTTCAACTAATTCCACATTTGTTGCACTTGTTTTAAGGTTTTTCAGCCTAATTCAGCAAAATTGTGCTCTCTCAACTTCCTTCTGGTAATTTAAGTTTCTTTCAGCCTTTTTAAAACTACTTTTCAGCTGTTTTTTTGTGTGTGGCTAATTTAAGCATTTTCAGATAATTTCCACCTTTTTGTGCTCATTTTGGCTTCTTTCAGCCTAATTGGGCAAACACGTGTTTCTCATACTTTCTTCTGCTAATTGAAGTTTGTTCTACCTTTTCAGCTAGAGTGTAACTATTTTTTTTTTTAGCTAATTTTAGCTGTTTTCATATAAATTCAACTTTTTCATGGCAATTTCTGCTACTTTCAGCCTAATTAATTTGGTTTATTTGACGTGCTCTTACTTTTTACAGTGTGTGTGTGCATAGATGTATGCTTTGTACCACTAAAATAACAAATCTACTTTTGGGTATAAATAAAGTAAAGTAACCTAACCTCTTTCTGCTAATTTCAGCTTGTTGTGCTCCTTTCAGCCTAGTTATGCTAGTTTCACTTATTTCAGCTACAATTTAGCTGTTTTATGCTCACTTTAACTTTTCAGCAAATTTCAGTTTTTGCACTCATTTAAGCTTTTTTTCAACCTAATTCAGCAAAAATGTGCTCTCTCCATTTACTTCTGCTAATTTAAGCCTCTTTCTGTTATTTTACCTTCTTGTCAGCTGTGTTATGCTAATTTTAGCCTTTTTTCAGATAATTTCCACTTTTTGTGCTCATTTCCTCATTTAATCAGGTCTCTCTTGTAAATGAGTCCTCGAGGCTCAATGGGATTTACCTGTCTAAATAAAGGTTGAATGAATTTCCAATTCTTTCAGACTAACTGGACATTATTGTGCTCTTTCCACTTCCCTCTGGTAATTTAAGCATCCTACCTTTTCAGCTACTTTTCAGCAAATTTTTTTTGCTAATTTCAGCCTTTTTTTTTTTTTAGCTAATATACTTATTTTTGTGCTCTTTTCTGCTTATTTAAGCCAAATTCAGCAAATATGTGTTCTTTCTGCTTTCTTCTGCTAACTTAGGCTTGCTCTTCCTTTCCAGCTACATTTTTAGCATGCTTTTAGCTAATTTCAGCTGTTTGCTTTAGCAAGTTCTTCTGCAGCATCCACACTGCATTTTCGCAGGAAATGCATTTCTCTAGTTTTGCAGTAGTTTCAGAAACCTGTGGATCCCCGAGCACTCGATGCAGAGCAGCACTCCCAGGTTGATGGAGGCCCAGCACGGAGCCGCTTGGCTGCAGTCGCTGCACAGCTCGTTGCCTGGCAGGTTCTGTACCCGCTGGAGGAGACTCTCCCCCCCTCCCCGAAACGCCTTGTCAGCCCTCTCCCCCCTCTCCCGGGGCTCGCTGGCAGAGTCGATGCTGCTGGTGGAGGGCGAAGCCGTCCGGTCCAAACGCTGCAGGACAAGTTGCACGTCCAGGGTTAGCTGAACCCAAGAAGCGATTTCAAAAATCAAACTAGGCAACGTTTCCTGCACGTGACTACACGCTGTACCTCGACGTAATAGTTGTCGCCGATGTCTTTGTAGGCAGAAGCGATGCTCGCCTGGACCGCTTGGATCCAGGCCTGCCGCAGCTTCTCAGACTCGGCTTGCAGCATGCAGCTCCTGCAGGAACCAAAAGGCAGCACGTCTCATCCGTCAGTCCGTTTTAATCATATTTATCCAAAATGACACGGCACATGACAGAATGAGAGTCGGACACAGATTCACAGTATTTAAACAAAACGTTCAAACAAAAACATAAAAATGTATCACAAGATCCAACTGCTTCTAAAAGAACTGAAATACGTCTTTTACTGTCACATAATGCTACACCAGCGATTAGACTGAATTTATTTATTTATAGTAAAGTACAGTCGAGGTCACACGTTGTATGTTCCAGTAACTTTTTTGCAAACGTAGCGGTTTTATCTGACTAGTTGGGACAGAATTCATGCTGGTCAGTCAAAATGTCACCGAGCACAAACATCCTAATTGTTTGCTCACTGGTGGGCCTCTGCACCAGCAGCCTGTTTAAGAACGGGACAGACATGCTTACTTTTAGCTACTTAAAACCATTTTCAAGCATCCAAATTCAGGGAAATCTCCTTATTTGCTGAGTAACAGGAAAGGACGGGGATATTATTTTATTACGTACCACAGAAACCCACACACCGTCTCAGGAATGT